CCTCTCCACCACTCCTGGCCTTCCTCTTTTCGAGGACTACCAATGAAGAATTGTGTCTGTTACTTTGTAATATAAATATCCCACTCTTGAAATTCCCATAGGCTTGTTTTGCCATAGAAAGACAATGTTGCTTTTTATTCATCTTATTTTAACGTCTTGGCAATTGACTCTACTGGTTAGGCCTCCATGCCTTTTTCATGCTTATTTTATGATTCATTTTATATTATTTTTTAAAGAATTATGGCTTTCCAAATTTGGTCATTTCCTACTTCCAAGAGTTGATCCCAAAGTTAGCCACCAGATGGCGCTCAATCTTAATTTTATTCCCAGCTAGTTTTTTAAAAGATAAAGTGTAAAGGCCTTTTGTCTCAGTTTTTAGGCTGATTTCCAGAGCACATTTCCTGTAGATAACCATATTTAGAAAGGGAAAGGGCAAAAGGAAAAGCTATTAGGCTCATCTATCTGCATGATTTGGCAAAACTATTCAAAGAGGCAAGACTTACAATCCATTTGAGTAGCCAGTGAGAGAATTCTGTACCCACTCCCAGCCTTATCCTGCAGTCAGACCACAGCAGAATGTGTCAGGAAATAAGAAATACTTTTTCTTGTTTGGTCCTAAATGAATTCATTCAATTTTTTTTTAAAGCAGTGAAGGAAAAATTCAGAACTCCAAAAAGTCACTATGTAGTTTACATAAGATGGATATTGGTAATAATTAGATATTAACCACACTGATTACTTAGTTCTCTGCCCTTGAGGACTTCTTTTCATGAACTATATCAAAATTCAGAATTATGAAGAAAAAGAGAAGCTGATGATAAAGAGACCTGTTGCCCTCATTTATACCTGAGATAATGCATAGTATTACTAATTTTTTTTTCTGTACTTCAATGGATACAAACAGACAGTATCACTTATAAACTTTTATCAATTAAGCACTGAGAATCACACCTCTTTTATTTTCTAAAAATAATTACAAAGATGACCATACAGAATTTCTCGTGCCAAAGAACAATATATAAATATTTTAAAGAACCAAATGGTGGTTTCAGGATTTACTGCCCTGACAAGACATGCAGTCCTACCACTAGGATTGCTCCCAAAGCATGGAAAAAACAATGGCCCCCGTTAAGGGGGGGGTAGAAATGCCAAGATTGTAGCAAAAGTGGGAACAATGAAAAGTTTTAAAGAAGTGAGTTTGCTATAGACAATATACTATGAATAGTTAAGGCTGAAAATCCGTAAGAGTGCCCAGAAAATATATTGCTTACCAAAGCAATAAGGAATGTGCTGGTGAGAAGGTCACCAATACCACTAAGTTCAGTAGTGCCTCTTCTCTGTGGGCCAGGACTGACAGTAGCAGCTGTCATCATAAAACTGTGGTCTCTGATAGCAATCTGCATGACAGGAACTCTCCCTCAAACAGTAAGGCCAGGGGATACCACTCAACCCTCAGATGGGAGGAAGACACAATCATCACAATAAAGAGGCAGGGTCCCAGGGTCAGCTTCACAGGGGAACCTGACTACTAGCGAGTTATAGAAATGGTTAATGAAACATGGTGTCTTTAGGGGCAAACTATCTGGGCAGCCAACAAAAGTACTACTTAATTTGTCCATCAAAGAATTCAAGGCTGGATGATTAAGAAGACAGGGGCAGTAAGTAAAAATTTCTGCTCCCTTGCCTAGTTTTCAGACCTGAAACTCAATGACTGAAGGAGAGGCCAGATCCACAGGAGGAAAGACCTAGCAATACTGTAGCAGTACATGGTAACGATCCGCACGTCCTTCCCCCCAAGGGAGCATATAGTAATTTTCTTCAGGTAATGTGCACTGGGAAAAGAGAATTACCCAAATGTTATAGACTACTGGACACAAGGTCCCAGTTGACATTGATACCTATAGACTCACAGCATCATCATGACTCCTCTCTTGGAGGACATACAGCGATCAGGTAGTAAATGGAGTCCTGGCCAAGATCTAGCTCACAGTAGGTCCACTGGTTCCATAACCCACTTGGTGATCATTTCCCCCAGCTCCCAAATATATAATTGGAATAGAGATTCTTGGGAGCTGGCCTGACCTCAACATTGATGCCACTCCTGTGGGGAAATTAGAGTGGGGAAGGCCTAACAGAACCCTCTAAAACTGCCCCCACCATTTTCCTGATCAAGACCAAATCAAGGCCTGGAAGCAGTGGCTCACACCAGTAATCCTAGCACTTTGGGAGGCCAAGATGGAGGATTGCTTGAGGCTAGGAGTTTGAGACCAGCTGAGCAAGAGGGAGACCATCTCTACAAAAAATAGAAAATTTAGCCGGGCCTTGTGGCACACACCTGTAGTCCCAGCTACTCTGGAGGCCTGAGGCAGAAGGATGGCTTGAGCCCAGGAGTGTAAGGTTGCAGTGAGTTATGATGACGCCACTGCACTCTAGCCCAGGCAACAAAGTAAGACCCTGTCTCAAAAAAAAACCAGATACATCAGAATGGTTGTAAGATTTATTATCACACTATACTTATGTGGGTTATAAAAATTGATATTAGACATTTAAACTTTACATTTTTTTTTTTTTTGAGACAGAGTCTCACTGTGTTGCCTGGGCTAGAGTGCCATGGCATCATCCTAGCTCACAGCAACCTCAAACACCTGGGATCAAGCAATCCTTCTGCCTCAGCCTCTCGAGTAGCTGGGACTACAGGCGTGCGCCACCATGCCCGGCTCATTTTTTCTATGTATTTTTAGTTGTCCGATTAATTTCTTTCCATTTTTAGTAGAGACGGGGTCTTGCTCTTGCTCAGGCTGGTTTCGAACTCCTGAGCGCAAACAATCCGCCCACCTCAGGCTCCCAGAGTGCTAGGATTACAGGCGTGAGCCACCACGCCCGGCCTAAACTTTACATTTTAATTCAAATTATTATACACTTCTGGCATATGTAACTTTTTGAGATTTTTATCTTTCTAGCACTATGGTAATCCCATCAGATCCTAAAAGGGAGTGGGTGTGAGGACTTAATTCAGAGATCTAGGTTGCAAATGAATACCATCACATATGCATTAACATTATTTTAAATAGGTAATATACATGCCCAAAAAGGCTATATAGTGAAGTCTCTTTCCCTCCCTTTTCTCTCAATTAACCACTGTATCTTTTCAAAGCTATTCTATGCAAATAGAAATATATACATATTAAGCCTCATGTGGTGGCTCACCCTATAATCCCAGCACTTTGGGTGCCTGAGGCCAGAGGATCTCCTGAGGCCAAGAGTTCAAGATCAGCCTAGGTAACATAAAGACTCCGTCTTCATAAAAAATAAAAAAATTTTAGCCAGGCATGGTGGCACTACTCCTGTAGTACCAGCAGCTACTGAGGCTGAGGCCGGAGTATTGCTTGAGCCTAGGAGTCTAAGATACAGTGAGCTATGATTGAGCCGCTGCACTCCAGCCTGGGTGACAGAGCAAGACCCACCTCGCTAAAAAAAATTAGTGAATTTTTTTAAAAAAATACATACTGCATATATATTTTAACACACATATAACATAGTTTGCATCCTTTTTACATTGAGGATTGTTCCCTTTGGCACTTCATTTGAGATACTACAAATTTATTTTTCTTTCTCTCACTAAAATATAAATTTCATGAGGATAAAGACTTTTGTCTTTTTCATTGCTTTTTATTTTTTAAATATGTATTTTTCTATTCTTCATGAATATTTACCTAGTATTCTATCTTTTGCTTGTGTCAGTAATGCTATCGAAATAAATATCCTTGTAAATGTTATTTCTTTCGAGTGGGAGTAAAACTATAGGATAAAATTACAAATGTAGAATTGCAGGACTCTGTACATTTTTAACGGATGAGGTATTGCCAAATAGTGTTCCACTAAGGTTGAACCAATTTATACACTCACCAGCCTTGTTGCTAACATTATAATAGGAGAAACGTTGAAATTTATTCTTGCACAATGCCAATGCATATGCTTTTAAGTGCTCCTTCTTTTAAAAAAATCATTATTGGAAAATGCCGGGGGGTGGGGTGGGAAGCAGAGCTCATGAAATGGCCAGATGTCCTAGGAGATCATCTAGGATACTTGCAACCTAGTCCTACAGCAGAAATGACCTTTAACATTTGATTAAGTTTCTCCAAATGATTTGTTGAAATAACTCCAGTCTTCACAGCTTAAAAATGATGGCTCAGGCCCGGCGCAGTGGCTCACACGTGTAGTCCCAGCTACTCTGGAGGCTGAGGCAGGAGGATCACTTGAGCCCAGGAGTTTGAGGTTGCTGTGAGCTAGGCTGACACCACAGCACTCTAGCCCAGGCAAGAAAGTGAGACTGTCTCAAAAAAAAAAAGATGGTTCAAACTTGGACTGACATGCTGGCCTTCGATATGCTAGCAAAAATTCCCTTTTGCAAAATGTTAAGGTATGTTAGAGAAACAGCCATTTTAAGCAACAGAAACCGGGGTCCCATACAAGTAGACGGACGGCAAGGCAGGCATTCCTAGGGAACAAGTGGTACTGGGCAGGAGAAGAGGATGACACACTCAACACGCTGGGGTGGAGGGAGGGGGGATTTTATCCAGGATCACGTGGGATAAGTGGAAGGACAGGCTCAGGCTTCCGACAGGCAGCGTTTCTCAAGGATTGAACAGTTCCATTTCCTTTGGCAAGAATTCCTCCAATTATTAGAATCTCCCGTATAGACTAAGCTCCTCCCCTGGAAGAACTCTGAACTTTGCAAATTTCCGAAGTTAAACATACACTATTACACTCCTTAACGAGGAGAGTGAGGGAGGGGTTTAGAAGAGACAGGACGCAGTCGGTAAAGAGGTTAAATGAATGAAGAGGCCGAGTGTGCATTGAGCTCCTTGCAAGGAATTGCCGAGTTGAGGCTGACTCCTTCCCCTTCCAGGGTCCGCAGGGCTGGACTTCTCGGATGAACCTACCTGGGAGGCCCCCGTGTCCTAGTGAGAGAAACGGCAAGAAAAGGCAGCACGCGGAGCCCTGGAAGTCTGCCCGGTGTCGCCGACAGCGCGCGGAGCCGCAGGACCGGCCGCGGGGAGGGCTCGGGGGTTGCAGCCTCCGGCGGGGAGGGGCGCAGCCAGAACTCGCTCACGAATAGTGCGTTTTGGGGGAGAAACTGGGGATTGCGTTTCCTTCAGGAGAAGAATGCTCCACAGAGAGGCCGCAGACTCTCGGCCCTTCTCGGGAGCGCGGTCCCGCGGCGCGCACGGCAGCCGCCGGCTATCAAGGGAAACGACGCTTCGGGACCAGACACGGAGTTCGAAGTGCGGTTCTGGGAAGAGCGCGCTTTGCAGGATTTATTTCAAAGGGAATCGCGGACTGCGGAGCTGGGAGGCGGAGTGATGGGACCCAGCTAGATGAGGTCCCCGCAAGCCGAGAGGGTGCCCGCTCGGCCGCCGGCGCTGCGCTGGAGTCCCGGGCGCCGCCCCCATGGGCAGCCTCGCTGCTGCAGTCCCTGCGCCAGTCGCTGGGTCGCTGGGCTGGCGCGGCACCGAGGACCACCTTGACCGGCGGGGAGCGCAGCAGGACGCAGGGGCGGAGCGGGGTAGAGACCCACAGGGTTCCCACTTACACACTCAGTGCGGACCCCCACAAGGACCCCATGGGTCTCCTCGCTCGGGCTATTGGAGGCGCCGGCGTCCGGACCGCAGACTGCCAGAGGATGACGGTCACCACCCTGCGGTCCGGCCCGGCCCACTTGAAGCAGGACATGGCTCAGGTTCCATGAATGGGACCGCAGCTTGGTTTGGGCCCGAAGGGCGAGAAGGTATGAGAGGCGGTGGGGGAGGCTCCCTTAAGGATCGATCCCAGGAAGGCTGGAACACGTCCTCCTATCTCCGCACGTGGCCGAGAAACAGGAAGAGCGACCTTGGGGCGCAACACCCGCCATCCCGTCCCACCCCTGACCACCCCTCCCCCACCCTGGGAACAACGCAGGGGCAGTGGAGTGAGCAGGTGGGGCCTTGGGCCTGGCTCCCCACCTTCTCTCCCAGTCGGATCCACTTAACTTCTTGGTGCTCTCTGCATTCTTCCCGCGTTAAATAACATCCCTTTGCAGACTCTGGATTCACGGCTTTAATCCCAGCCTCTCCTCCCCATCCCATCAGGCTTCCCTTTAACTAACCTTGAAGGAACCCCCACCCCCGTCCTCCAGCCCATACACCTGCTACATCGAAGGTCTGCTCCACAGCAGTTCAAGGCTATCCCATCCTTCTAGATTTTCAGGCTCCAAACCTTGGAGTCCTCCCCTGATTTCTCTGTCGCCCCACCCTGCTCTCCTTTCGCACTTGCTGGTCTCTCTCTTCCCAGCTTTGTAGCTTGCTCCCTGTTCCACTTTCCTCATCGCCTCTGGTCTCTGGGTTCCCAATTTAAAATCACAACTTCATCCTTCTTCCCTGCTTTTCTCCACGTTACATTCTCACACATCCAACTGTGTATTGTACTCAGTAATCTTGCATAATTAATTAGGACATTAATGCATCTGTTTCCCGTCACCACCATTAGACCCACTAAAATATGAACACAGGGACTCCTTTCCCCACCCCATCCCCTGCATCTAGAATCTGCTTTGCACATAGAATGTGCTCCATAAAAATTTGCCGAATGAAAGGATGGGCACAACTCAGGATTCACTCGCCCAGTGTGGCATCCATGAGCCCTGTATGCAGGTAAGATGACAGTGGGTCGGCCAAATATTGGAAGTGAAAAAGAATCAATTCACCTCTTTGGTTTGCAAATGTCTAGGACTCTAAGACCTTTAAGCCAGTAGGAAAATCAGGTCTCCTTGGAATTAAGTCCAGTGCTGCCTGATCCCAGACTCCCAATTTGCTGTTCTTGTCTGGCTGGTCCTCAGCATGGGTCATTCATCTCCAATTGATTCAAACAAGATTTTGAGAAAACACAAACCTTTTCCTTCATCCATTTCAATCGTACCTACACACAATTTTGAATAGGCATTTTAAAATCAACACTATTCTGTGCAATTTTGGTGGTTAGTATATTTAGCTCCACTTCATTTTTAAAAATTGCCTATCCATATATCCATTAAGATACTTGCATATCCACCAATTTTTCATTATTTTAATGATTCTGAAAACGTTCTGGAACATGTGTGCCTGGACCTTTTTGGAATTAAACAAGATTCCTAGAGACAGAATTGTGTGTACAATGTGGATCTACCTTTAATATGTCATCCTGGATGGTGTAAAATGAACAGACATTCTGTTACATTTAAAGCAAATTGTAGAACACTATATAATTTGGAGCTATAGATAATACACATTTTTAAAACTGTATTAGATTCATCTATGTATATGTTTTGTAAGATTCTGAAATGAATCAAAATACAATCATGTGTTGCTTAACAATGGGGATACATTCTGAGAAATGTGTCGTCAGGCAATTTTGTCATTGTAAGAACATTGTAGTGTGTACTTACCCAAACCTAGATGGTATAGCCTACCACACACCTAGGCCATATGGCATAGCCTATTGTCCCTAGGACACTAAACCTGAGCAGAATGTTACTGCACTAAATACTGTAGGCAACTGTAATGCAATGGTAAGCACTGTGCTTTTATTAATGTATAACTGGCAGCGGCAATGCAGGTTTCTTTACGCAGACATTTCCACAAACGCATGAGTAGCGTGTTGTGCTACAGTGTTCCATTGGCCACGACTAGACAATACAAATTTTTCAGCTGTTATTATCTGATGGGACCACCCTTGTATGTGTGATCTGTCATAGACTGAAAAGTCATTGTGAGGTACATGACTATATATACACAGGAGTACTATTCAGCTGTAATAAAGATGGAAATCCTGTTATTTTTGATACCATGGATGAACCTGAAGGACATTATGTTAAGTGAAATAAACCAGGCACAGAAAGACAAATACCACATGACCTCACTTATATGTGGGGTGTAAAAAAGGGGAACTCATAGAAATAGAGAATAAAATCATGGTTGCCAGAAAGTAAAATGCTGGGGGGATTGGAGAGATGTTGGGCAAAGGACACGAAATTTCAGTTAGACAGGAGGAGTAAGTTCACACACACACAGAAACACTTGTTAAGGAGGGGACTGACGGGGAAGGAAGGGGTTATAAAGGAACTTCTGAGGTGCTTGTTGACAATAGTCTATCTTTTTAACCTAGATGCTTGTTATACAGGTGGTCAAGTTGTAACAATTTATTGAGCTGCACATTTATGTTTTGTTCATTTTCCTACTTGTGTATATTTTACTATAAAAGTTTTTAAAGATATCTCATTTCTCAAAAGGACCAAGTATCAAAAAAAAAACCAAAAACCCATTTGCAAGAAATTCATCCTATTAATACAAATGTCCTCTCACACTGCTTATAATAGCAAAAGGTTAGAAGTTACCTAAATGCCCATATTGAAATCAGTAAAATGAATCATATAACATCTATACACTATCATAATATTCAGCATTTTTACTTCGCTTTTTATTTTTTCCTGATCAAATAACTCAGGTTGTACTATTTAGCATTTTTATATATATACTGATATGGAATAATCTCCAAGATAAAATTATCTCATATCTTATATAAAATATACATATGTATAAAATATCTTATCACATATTAAAGTACACCTGTGCACATGTAAAATATGCATATATAGACACAGAATCTCTATTTGGATATTTTGGGATCTTGTAATGCAAAAAAGATGTACTCAAAACAAAAGATGGATACAAATTGAAAGGACATAGGAGACGATATGGAAGAATTCCCAGGCTGAAAGAAATGGCCAAAGCTGGAAGAAGTTGAGCAACAAAAACAAATAGTGTTGGATTACACTCCAAAGAATTTATAGATATACACACACACACAAGTCCATGCCAATATAAATAAACTGAATAAATAGGTGAGAAGCAACAACTATTCCATACAGAAAGATTCCCATTAATAAATGTAAAAGGAATGAGAGATAGATAATCACCACTGGTGATTCAGTAAGGCCAGATCCAAAAAATCAAAACCAGCCAGGTGTGGTAGCTCATGCCTGTAGTCCTAGCACTTTGGGTGACCGAAGCAGGAAGATTGCTTGAGGCCAGGAGTTTGAGGCTGCAGTAAGCTATGGTAACACAACTTTAGCCTGGGCAACAAAGTGAGACCCTAACAAAATAAAACAAACAAACAAAAAGAACACCAAAGAGGGGGGAGAGAAGAAAACCACCACTGGAATACCACAGTAATCATTGCCTCAGACAAAATTCACCCCTGATGCTAAAATTAGTGGGTAATGGTTTAAGCAGAGACAAAATACTTGTATAGGCTAGTATCTCCCCCATAATGCTTAATAACTACAAATGGAAAAATCATAAGTTTACAACAAAGAATGCAGGCAAGTGGTTTCCTAGCCGAGTGATCAAGTACTGGTGCTACATCACCAGTAGCACACACTGACATCACCTATCCCGTGATACGATGTACTGGGAAGAGCACAATCACATCATCTTTGTGACATCATTCCCAATAATGTATAACTTCAATCTAATTCTGGCAAAACATCAGACAAACCGAAACTGAGGTACTCTCTACAAAATAACCGACTAGAATTCTTCAAAAGTGTCAAGGCCATGATAAACAAGGAAAGACTGAGGAACTGTCAAAGATGAGAAGACACCAAGGAGACAGGAAAACTAAACTTGATGTGGGACCCCAAATTGGATCCTGAAACAGAAAAACCAACTTAGTGAAAAAAACTGGCAAAATCCAAATAAGTTTTTAGTTTTGAAAAATGTTCTATGGTTATATGAGATGCTAACGTAAGTAGAAGTTGGGTGCAGGTCATATTGAAACTCTGCATCATTTCTGCAATTCTTTTGTACGTCTAAAATTAACTGACAATAATAAATGCAAGAAATAAAAGTACAGTGTATTAAATATTCTGCCACACATTAAAATACATACATATAAAATATGCATATAAAAATTTCTTTTTGGGTAGGGCTGGATGACTGAGAGCCATGAATATGAAGGAGGGTTACTTTCCTTCACATACCCTTTTGTAGCCTCTGAATTTTCTGCAATGTACTATTTCAAAACTAAAATTTCAAGTAAAATTTAAGTCGGGGACATACTGAGTGAGTTGCTAGACTTTACTCAGCCTAATCTTTGGCTCAAGTTTCACAGAATTGGACTGTGAAACAAGGTCCAGTTTCCTTCTCCATCAGCCACTGGTCTGAGATGGTTTTTCTTTTGGGGTCTTATAAAATTACTAAAGCCCAAAGAAAGTACAAGCATATTTCCTGGTAGCATTTTTGCAATTCTGGGAACATATGTAACACATTGCATCCCACTCAGGTATTAAAATCAATATAGAGATAATGAAGAAACGATTTTAAAGTCATGATATTAGCATTTCTTTAACTGTAATCTATTTTGTATTCACTATGATAGTAAAGAGACAACATAGCAAAAGAGCGTAGATTCACACCTGGTTGTGTGACTATGTGCAAATTGCTTAGTTTCTCTGTATCTGAGTTCCAAGGGAATAATCAGAGGGCCTATCCAAGGGGTTATTTTGAATATTGAAATAAGAGGACACATCTAAAGCAGAAAAGTACCTGGCACATGAGTAAGCTCTTAAATGTTAATATTTTTAAGATGTTCTAGCTACTTTTAAAAGTGTTTAGCATTGAAGAGAATCTAATATATATTTGTGATTTAAATTTTACAAGTTTCATTCAATATGTCCAATTGTTAAAAAAAATGAGCAAATTATATTTGTAAGTCCATAAGTTTTGAGTTATTAGTTATGAAAGTAGGTATATAAGTACTTAGTGTTTTTTAATTAGAGAAATGTTAATTCATGGACATAGATTAAGGAATCAGAAATCAAACAAGATATAAATAGAAGTATTCTTTCTCTTTAGGCAGACTGAGTCTCTCCATAAAACTCTGAATCCTCACCTTTCCTGCCTCCTGTTACTACTTATGCTCCTGTTCCTACCAGAATCTGCTCCCTCCACCATCGCTCTGGATTATGTCCCCTCTAGCTCTCACTAGGGCATGAAGGCTTTAGTTATCTCCTTCTGCCTCTAGATTGTCAGCCTCTCCCTCCCACTGCATCACCCCTGCCCTCCCGCCACACCCCAACCTCTCTACAGCAAGTAATAAGCTCCCTCTTCCCACAGCCTCTCCGTTGCGAGCTATTTCTTTGTTCACTATCTCAACTAAAATTATCCAGCCTTTTCCATCCAGGACCATCAGTTCTACTTACCAAAAAAGCCCACTTAGACATGTTCCACATGCAGCCCCATTTAAATTCTTCAACTTACTCCAACCTGCCATCTAAGAATCTCACTCCTACAACTGAACTGCTCCTGCTAAAGCTAACAATGAGCCCTTGTGGTACTCAAAACAGGGAGCAAATTTCTGTCCTCATCCTACTGTACTGCTGGGCAGAATCCCCCATGACACACAACTCCCTCCTTGACACTCTCTGCTCTTACTGGTAGGGACCCAGGCAAGAAAGAGGAGTGTGGATTGTGGATCAACAGCAGTGGGGTGCGGTTGAGGAATTTTCCAAAAAAATTTCATTCACACCCCCAAACACTGTGATGAGCCAAAACTACTAATTTTCTTTTTTCTTTTTTTTTTTTTTTTTTGTTAAAGAGACAAAGTCTTGCTCTGTGGTCCAGGCTGGAATGCAGTAGCAAGATAATAGCTCACCAGTTGGTCCGAGTGCAGTAGTGTTTACAGCTAATTGATCACAACCAGTTACAGATTCCTTTGTTCCTTCTCCACCCCCACTGCTCCACTTGACCAGCCTTTAAAAAAAAAAAAAAGATCATAGCTCACCATATGCTATGATCTTCAAAATCCTAGGCTCAAGTTATCCTCCTGCATTGGCCTCCCAAAGTGCTAGAATTACAGGCTTGAGCCAACACTCTTGAAAAACAATTTTTTTAATTTCTTTTTTTAAAGGTGGATCTCATTTTGTCACCCAGGCTGGAGTGCTGTGGTATGATCATAGTTCACTGTAACCTTGAATTCCTGGGCTCAAGGGATCCTCCTGCCTCAGCCTCTGGAGTAGCTTGGATTACAGGCGGGTGCCACCACACTTGCCTAATTTTTAACATTTTTTTTGTAGAGACAGGAGTCTCCCTATGTTGGCCAGGCTGATCTCAAACTCCTGGCCTGGAATGATCTTCCCACCTTAGCTTCCCAAAGTGCTGGGATTACAGGTGCAAGCCACCATGCCCAGCCCTGAAAATGTTTTTTCTCTTCCTCTTCTTACCCTGGAAGGAACACTCAACACAAAACTAATGCAAATTATTTATTATAAAATCATTGGCACTTCACTTAAAAGCTGGAGCTTGCGATAACTTAAACCATTACAGAATTAAGAACACCTGCCCCCTGCACCCTCTCCTCATCCCCATCTTTCCTTTCGTGGCACAAACAGAAGTGGGGACCTCCTGATCTCCAGGCCAACAGTCCTTCTGCAAGCAACACCATCGTGATCCTGAGATCCCGCCAGAACCCAACCTTAAGCGGAGCGCCTGGAGGCCGACGCAGAACTTTGCAGCCTCCTCACTCGTGCTCTGGCTAAAAAGAAAGCAGCTGGTCAGGTGCGTGCTTTGTAGAGATGACCTTAGCGCGGTGATTTTCAGACTTTGGCATGCATCAGAATCACCTGGAGGACTTGTTAAACACAGGTTGCTGTGTTCCTCCTCCCCCCAACCCCGGGGTTTCTGATTCTGTGAGTATGGGGTGGACTCCGAGTTTGCATTTTTAACAAGTTCCTAGGTGATGCCGATTCTGCTGGTCGAGGGGATGCAGTTTGAGATTCGCTGTCCTAGTGTATGTACGTGACAAGGCTGTCCCACAAGAGTGATTCGGTGGAAGACGGTCCCCTAGGGGGGCTGCCCTCGTGATTTCCAGGGAACTTCTAAACCTGGAGTGCACAAATATGCTAGATTTTCCACCTTTGGGTCAGGCCACAGTCTCCCTTCCCAGCCACATGTCGCTCATTCTACTCAAAAGCCAGGAAACACACTTTAGACTTAGTGATTGTTTGTTTTTAGAACTGTCTCAGGCCTTCAGACTAAGGAACTGGAGTGATCCTAAAAGATGCGGGAAGCGAAACCCACCTTTCCGGGCCCCTGGGTGAATGAAGCTTTCCCTATCAGGGCCCCCAAAACCGCTCACCTCGATTTCTGCGGATGTAAAGCTGGAAAGACATTGTCCCAAGCAGGAGCAGCGCGAGGGTCTGGAAAAATGGCCATCCATAAATGTAAATCAGAAATCCGCATCTTGAGATCCTTTCAGTCACGACTAAGACTCCGAACAATCTTCCGAAAACCCTCCGCATTTCTGCGTTCTCGCCTTGGAAAAGGAGGGTGCGCTAAGTCAGAAGCGAGGGCAGCCCCCCCAGCCCGCTCCCGCGTACCGCAGGGCCAGCCGGCAGGAAGGGACCAAATAACGATGGGAGAAGCGAGGTTCAGGTCGCGAAGGAGAGGGGTATTCCGGGCTGGGTCGTCCCGGACCGGACCACTGTATAGTCTAGGATTCCAGGAAATTTCAAGGGGCACCGTATCGAGGCCCGCCCGCAAGGGGAGTGCCGTAGGCTGCATGGGACAGGCGGCCTGCAGGACCTCCGAGGGTCTGCGCCCCGGCTCACTCACCTAACAAGAATGGAAGCATCCAGGAATCGATGTAAAACACCTGCGGGTTCCCTAATAGCTGGTTTGTAGTTTGGATGCGACCGAACTCCGAGAACCGGCGGCGGAGAGGTTCGAAAGAACTGAGCCGCATCCCGCCGCAGGGAAGGGGCAGCGGCTCCGCCGTCCTTTTACGCCGCCTCGGACCCGCCTCTCCCGCCGCCGGCCCCTCGGACGCGCCCCCGACCTAACGATCCCGCCCGCGCTCCCTTTCTTCTATCCTGTCCTCTCGACGAGCTTTTACCGTTCAGGGATGCTGTCTGTCACCGCCTCTGCCATGCGGTTGCCCCCCTGCGGTCTGAGGGCCCCGCACGCTCCCCACGGCGGCAGAGTTCGCGCGGGGCTCCAGCAACGACGTGTCGGGCCCAGCGGGGGCTGGACCAGGGACGTCCGGGAGAGGCTCACTGGGTGACACATGGTGGCAGCCTGGAAATGGGAGTGCAGCGTGGACGGCTGAAGAATGGAACCCACGCCGCCTCTGAGGGTTCCACTATCCACCGTCAAAGCCCCCAAGTCTTCGGCGAGGCCCTGCGCTTTCTCCGCGTGCGCGCTCTCCGGCCCTCCTGGGGGACCCGCGACGGCGCGCGGAGCCCGGCGGTGGGGCAGAGGCGAGTGTCGGCCTAAATCGTGACCGCCCTCGAGAAAACAGGCCCTTAACTTGTTTACAGAGAAGGGATCAACTTGTGTGGAGAAAAGAGAACTTGCACTTGGGTCGAAGGCTCTGTGGCTCCGAGGTCCGAACCTCTCTAAGTTAGCATATTCCGCCTACTCGGGCGTTCAATTTTACAGGCCCGAACTCGGACACGGAGCGTGACGAACAGAGAGCAGCTACCCGGACGCGGCCGGCTCTCCCGAAACTGCAAGGCAGGTGGGCTCCGCCAGGGCCACCCTCTCCGCTCCGGCACGCTCAGGCGCCCCTGTGCCGCGCGAGCCCGGGCCTCTCGCTTCTCCTACCCCAGGTGTTGGCTTCTCCTACCCCTTGGCGATCGCGGGAACCAGCAGAGCAGCAGCAGCCGGAGCCCGGTGGGTCCGTGAGCAGCCGAGAGCGAGCCCCAATCCCTGTGCTTTGGAACCACCTCGGCGTTTGGATGGCTCCAGCTCACCAGCCTCACCCATTTAGGTAAGGGAGTAAATAAATTGGCACTTGTGTGACCATTTATGCTGTGGTTCAAGAGGCTGAGGTACAGATAGTGGTGGGTCACTGCACCCCCCGGCGTGTAACTCTGAATTTGGATGGTGCCTGACTGACACATGCGCAGAAGAGGACTGCTGGAGGTGCGGAACGGCCTTCACAACTCGCTAAGGCTGTTGTGAGCAGGGAAGTGGGAACAAATTGGGGAAGCAGTATGTGGGGTACTACCGCCAACCTTGGTTAGAATCCTGATTTGGTCATTTACAAGTTGTGTGATCTTGGGCAATTTATTTATATGAGCCTGAGTTTTCCAGCCTGAAACGGAACATAATCTTTTCCTTGCAAGAATTAGAGAAAAAAGAGAGAGAGAGAGAGAGTAGTAGTTGAGGGCTACTAGACACAAACTATTGCTAGTATTATTTTTACACACTAATGTTTCACGGGAAAATACTTCCTCCCTGCCCCCCTACACACACACACACACAAATCTATTCCTCAGTCGTGAGTGAAAGAGGGTAAAGGGAGCCTCTTTCCTCTTAATGTACCTACCTTGCCACCTGCATCCACAATAGCTACATATATACAGATAGAACACTCCAAAGCCAAAGGCGCCGAACCACACTTTTAAAGACTGACACTTTTCCTCCCATAGCTGCTTGACATTACATGGATTAATGGATCCAGGTTCAGGACAATCACAGAATTTTATGGACTCAAAGTGTTTTCAGTTATTTCAAAGTCAGGCGCTAACCACAAAGCAAGGTAGGGCATACTAGCTAGAACGATGGATATACCCTGAGACCCATGCTAGCTTCATGGAATCTGTGAATGTCTGTCAAGTGTGCATATATAGCTTTCAACAAATTCTCTAAGGTAGTGCTGTTCAATAGATTTTTCTGCAATGATGGAAATGGATATTTGTGTTGTCCAATCTGGTAGCCACTAGCCACGTGTGGCTACTGAGTCCTTGAAATGTGGCTAGTGCAATCAAGGAACTGAATTTCTGATTGTATTCTATCTTAATTAAATTTAAATTGCCACATGTGACTAGTAGCTACTCTATTAGAAAATGCAACTCCAAAGAATTCATTGCCTGCCTCAACCCCCCCAAAATAATCACAGATTTAGAATTTAGCAATTTTTGTCATAAACATGGAACAGACAATCCACAGCTAAATAATATATTAAATTGAAATGGCAATCCTTTCAATATTACTCCCTACTGAATGAATTATAGACCCAGCTTTGCAGAAAAATAAGTAGAAAATCTAAAATGAGGTGAGATGGCATTAGGAAAGTGATGACTGAGGATGTATTTGTCAGCTTTTGCTTTTGTTATGCACATAACAAAGAACCACAAAATCTCAATGGCTTACAACTAAACAGGTTTCTTTTTCTTTTACTCTATTACTCATCTGTAAGTTGTCATCACTCTTGGACCCAGCGAAAGGAGCAGCCCCATGTAAGATATGCCAGTCTCACGGCAAAGGAGAAAACAAACAAACACGTGATATTTCTTGAAATGTCTTCACATTTCATTACCAAAAGAGTCAGGTTTGGTCATGTGACATAAATGGAGCAGGAAGTACATATGCTTCTAAAGGGAGGGGCATCAAGGAAAAAATAAAGAAAAAGAAAACAGCCTGCGTGTCCATCATAGAAAATGAGTTAAATATAGCCATGTTTAGTTGCTTTTAGAAAGCAACTAAGAATGAACTAAAACTATATCCATACAATGTAATATTTATTTTTTATTTATTTATTTATTTATTTATTTATTTAGAGACAGAGTCTTACTCTGTTGCCTGGGCTAGAGTGCCGTGGCGTCAGCCTAGCTCACAGCAACCTCAAACTCCTGGGCTCAAGCGATCCTACTGCCTCAGCCTCCCAAGTAGCTGGGACTACCTGCGCTCAGCCTCCCAAGTAGCTGGGACTACAGGCATGTGCCGCCATGCCTAGCTAATTTTTTCTATATGTATTTTTAGTTGTCTGACTAATTTCTTTCTATCTTTAGTAGAGACGAGGTCTCGCTCTTGCTCAGGCTGGTCTCGAACTCCTGAGCTCAAGCAATCCTCCCTCATCAACCTCCCAAAGTGCTAGGATTACAGGCATGAGCCACCACACCAAGCCTATTTTGTATGATACTATAATGGTGGATACGTGACATTATGCATTTGTCAAACCATAAAACTTTATAAGACAAAGAGTGAACGCAAGGTTGAGGGACTCCAGAAAAGAATTCAGATTGTGACGAGAGAATCTAACTACATTACAAATGTATGAAACAACTCACTGAAGGGAGTAGGGGGAGGGAAGTGCTGACCTAAGTAACTTAGGAAATGGAGTCTGTAAGACTAAAAGAGAAAACCTGCACATAAACATTGTACTCTAGTTGAAGTTGACGGAGTTGTTTCCCATGGCGGTACAAGTTAGCAATTCTGATACAGTAGCCCCCCCTTTATTTATAGTTTTTCTTTCTGCGGTTTCAGTCACTATGGTCAACAAGAAGGGTGAATACAGTATAATAAGATATTTGAGACCACATTCACATAACTTTTGTTATATTGTTATAATTGTTCTATTATGAGTTATTGTTGTTAATCTCTTACTATGCCTAATTTATAAATTGAACTTTACCATAGGTATGTATGCATAGGAAAAAATAGTATATGTAGGGTTTGACACTATCTACGTACGGTTTCAGGCTTCCACTGGGCGTCTTAGAACATATCTCCCTCACAGATAAGCAGGCACCACTGTACTGCTTTACATACATACTGAATTGAACAATTAACTAAGTGGATAGTGGATGGTGGGAGCCAGGTTTCTCACTGTTGGATTGGGGATTCACAAATAAGCAATTATCTCTGTGGGAATGGATTAGAGTTGGAGATATCAGAAATAAATGATGTTTATTAGATACAGATGGTTCATATAGAAATATTTCTTTTTTTAGTCCTATGAACATTTGGTCATGTGTTTAGAAATATTTCTATATACACAGGTTAATAAACACATCTGTACTTCTTTGCTGTCAGCTGAGGTGGCCTAAAGAAATAACACCCAGGCAGCAATAAGCACACCTAGCACCCAGATTTTGGTTTCTAATTCTCCATTCAAAGCTCTTTGGATAGATGGCTTCTTCTAGGACTGGGCCAGAAATATGTATATTACGCTACTGATATAGAGAGAATATAGTATGAAACTCTACTATCAGCTCAATTTTTCTATAAATCTAAAACTTCTAGGAGGAGTGTGTGGCCTGAGGATGGGGTGGGGCCCAGGGACTGCTCCATTCTTCTTTCCCCATTTCTACCCCCACCCTGGTGACCCCTGAGGCACCACACACCAATGGCCAGGAGGATCTGAACTCACCTGGTGTCTGCAACAGTGGTCTTAGGCCCCTGGCCCTGCCAGGTAGTGGCACCAGTGTCCAGCATCAGCCTGGGCCTGTGGTGGGAGATCAAGCCTGGAGTGCACAAGATCCACCTGTGCAAGGACAAGCATGGCAAGACCAGG